GAGGTTTTACAGCACTCGCAACATTTGTCAGATGATTAAAGTGTTCCATTTTTCATGTTTATAACATCGATCTGTGGAGGGATTTCATGACTGATCGTTTGCACTTTTGAGCGATAGGGTTCCAGGAGAAATTGTGAATCGTCAGAGAGGATACTTAAAATCTCCTAATTTGGCTACATGACAAAATTCATTAATAAAAAATTATTACTTACATTTAAAACAACTCTAAACAATTAAACCATTAATTTGTAAAGGCAATTAACAGCAAAAATCAATTGTCAATCAATTGATAAAAATGGACAAACGACTAGAGAAAGAAAGAAAAAAGAGAGAAAGAGAGGGAGAGAGAGAGAGAGACTTTTATTTACTGTCTTAGACTTGTTGTAATAACATTTACAACAAGAAAACAACAAGTATGTACACATGGAGAAAGTTCATCATGCCAGAGGTCGTCGTAGAAAGAACAAAAAAGAGAAGAAATAATATCTGCATAATTTCGACTTAATACAAACAGGTTGCTACTAAAAATTATAACAAAAAAATAGCTAAAATTAAAGAAACAAGCATAAACAGACTATGAAAATTAAGTGAAAATAAAAGACATAATAAAAATTAATAAGAATAAAGGAATAAACAATAAACAGAAAACTGTGAAGATAAAATAAAAGAGAAGATATAAAGTCAACATAGTTTATGAATAAAACAGTAACGATAAAAGTAAGCAAAATGTGGAAATTGACTTGCATTAGAATAAATGAAATTAACGTAGAAAATTTAGTAAATTATAAGAAGTATCCTACTAATCTTTACTTTCAAAAATAAATAAAATTTAAATCTATGCAGAAAGCAAAAAGCATTAAGTTAGAAATCAAATTCATACACTAATTCATATCTGCACTTACAAACTTGATGGGCAATTGGATCAGTCCTTTTGGTTTTTTTGTACCATTCAAGTAATTAATCAAAATATTTCTAGGCAAATAGAAACAGCACAAATGAAACGGGCAAGAATTCAACCAAGATTAAACACTCAGCTAGGAAATGAGTAATATTTTAGATCGCACCATTGAGCAGAATTCAGACGTAATAGCTCGTACCGCATTTTATATATCCAACAAAAATCATTAAAGGAATAATCGATAAAATTATCTTTGTAAAAATCGAATAAGGCAACAGAATGATTAAGTATTTTATATAGTGATAAATGTGTAGATGAATGAATTTTTAAATGGCAATTCTTACTATAATTTAGGAAATCTAATTTATGAGATGTGATAAGTGAGATTCCCACTTTAAAATATTTCGTGAAGAGGGAGAAAACATTATTTCATATTTCCGGAACAGCGTATACCAGTGAGCAAACCAAGAACAATCGACTAAGTTGTCACCTGAATTTGCTAAAATTTTGCTACTGTTCAGAGTTTTATGTTTATTTTTTAATTAAATTCGCGAGAATAAGGTAATTTTTCTATAAAATGGAAACGACGAAAAATGAAAATGTTTATTATAAGTCCATTTAATTTAGTGGTCTATTGACCAAATTACTTTTTCTAATTAATCTTTTGATGAAAGATTTTGGTTGAAATGAAAAATCGTAAAAAGGTGGGAAAATTCGAAAGGTAGGTTGAGATGGAGAGTTGGTGGCCGAGCGGATCGAAGTCTCGATAGCTCAAGTGGTAGAGCAGCGGCGTATTTAGCCGGTCGTGGGTTCGAATCCCGCTCGTGGCTCTAACTTTTTCATTTCAACCAAAACCTTACATAAATAAGATTAATTAATTGAAAGGAGTTTATTACAAGATTTATTGAGAATTTATGTGTAGGTTCATAAGGAAGCGAGTGAATGCAATATACGCAGGACATGTCAAGACACACAGGAGTGTTTTATTATTGAAATTAATATGAAAAGCCAAAGTCTGTCCCCGTTGAAAAAACAATGTTGAGAATATTGATAATTTATTGTAATAATACCTCGTTGCCGTTGGTGAGGAGTGCTTCTCGTTTGTCTTTCCAGCCCATCTTGATTCTCGCACAATCGGCCGATGAATGAGCGAATAACACGGCCGGGGCAAAGGCAGACTATTGCATAATCGTATAGGCGAGATAGATAATGAGAAAAGAACCGGCGAGACCGGTGGAGGAAAGGAGATGGAGTGACCGGGACCGGCACGAGACCGACGTGATGCCCAAGTCGTGACACGGCTTTTTTCCTTTACAAACAATTAAGTCCGCGACGTGGTGGAAATTTTTCGATACAGGTTATGTTTATTAATGAAACACTACCTAAACGGGTAGACAATTATCTCCTGGTGAGAGATTATATTATAATGAGATTCCTCACCAAATACTCTTAAAAATTCCAAACACCGTTTAAAGCATAAAGTTATTAATTTACAAAAAAAATCAGATTGTTTCATAATTGTGATTGTAATTCCGTCCGAACATACGTTTATTTTTAATTCACGACAATTGAATCGCCATCGGTAATTCTATAATTGCACATTCAATAACTTCTGAACATTCAAATATGTTTATTTAACTACGTAATTGATTTCTCTGTTTAATTTTACATCTCCCTGATTCACGATAATAAAAATGGTTCTGATACGTAATAATTTCTTATAGAGACTGAAAATAGGTAATTATTAACTTCAGTATAGTTTTACATTTATTACGTTTGCACGCTACATTCAAAAAGTATGAAAATGAGAAAGGATTTTTTAAAGCAATTTCTTAAAAATATTTTAGTATAAAACGATTTATAAAATTAACCCATTATATTTCGTGGTCCGATTGACCAAAATAACTTCTTTCAATTAATTAATCTTTTTTTATGTAAGGTTTTGGCTGAAATGAAAACGTACTGTCACGAGAGGGATTCGAACGCACGACCTTCGGCTCAATACGTCACTGTTCGACCATTATCACGATAGCTCAAGTGGTTAGAACAGCGGCGTATTGAGCCGAAGGTCGTGGGTTCGAATCCCGCTCGTGAAAGTAACTTTTTCATTTCAACCGAAACCTTACATAAAAAGAATAATAATAAATAATAATTTTTATTATGGATATATTGACAGGATATAGAGATTCTCAGAGTTTGTTTTATTATTTCGCCAAACCGGTGCTCTAAAGAGCTTAAACATGAAGTTATGTAAAATTTGATTTGTTGGAAATAGGACGAGTTCGTCCTTTATAAAAATTCGTCTCAAAGTTTTCCAAGCACTAAAATCTACTATACAAGAAACAAACTCTTTGAGAGAATACAAATACTTTGATTGCGTCTAAAATTTCTAGCATTGTATTAATTCATTTTTTTTCTTTGAATCTAAAATTTTCTAGCATTGAATAAATTCCTTTTTTTTAATCTAAAATTTTCTAGCATTGTATAAATTCATTTTTTTATATCTTAAAATTGTTAGCAATGTATAAATTCATCCTTTTTTTTAATCTAAAATTTTCTAGCATTGTATAAATTCTTTTATTTAAATCTAAGATCTTGTAGCAGTGTATAAATTCATTTTTCACGCCCTACATGTGTTTGTATAATTTAAAGAATGTTTATATATCCCAGGCCCTGAAGATGATCTCAATAAAGATCGAAACATGGAACGATAAAGAAAATGTTTTTCTAAAACTAACGTCACACTAGACCGCATCTCACGAATCTTGTAAGGTATTTAGCGGCGTATTTAGCTGAAGGTCGTGGGTTCGAATCCCGCTCGTGACATTAACTTTTTTCATTTTAAACAATACCTTACGTAAAGATTATAAAAATAACATTGAACCCTGTAGAACACTTAAAACTTAAAACATTTTTAGAAAAATATTACGCGTTTGTCTCGGTGTAGATCGTTGACATCCACATTTGTGAAATAATTTTTTCTACTATTATGTATTTTTAAAAAACAAAAATTATTAATTAAACAATTAGGCTCATAACAAGAATCCACATAAAACATTATATGACTAATAAACTATTTAAATATAATTGGATGAGAGTAACGGCTAATTTTTTTTAAACAATTAACAAAAAACAGTTAATAGGAGGTCAAATTTTAATGCATTCAATTTTTTATACATTTTTCTGTTGAATGCTTGGAGCTTTTACTCATTAATTTACGTTCGTAATGAAGTTTCCTTGTAGTGGATCGTTTAGCTCCATGAATAGAAACTTTTCACGAATTTTACCAAGTTTCTAAATACTCCATATGTATCTGCACGTGTGCCTGGTAACTTTTTTCAGTTAAATTTAAAGTTGTCGGAATTTTTGATAATTAACTAAAAGGTGTTGGTGGAAACTCTGTTTTACTTTGTTCTCTGTGATAAAGTTTTGCGTCCTCTCTCTCTCCCACTCACTCTCTCTCGCTCTCTCTCTCTCTCTCTCTCTCTCTCACACACACACACACACACAAACACACAGAAAGACAAACAAAACTTATGGATTTATTATTATTCTCTGATATGAGATACTATTGGGTATATGATCATGCAATGATTAATTCTAATTTAATTTAAATTTTAGCAGTTGCTTTTATGTTTTTAGTTTAAAACGTGCAGAGGTGTGCATTTAAAAAAAAAGTGTGACTTGCGAGTGATGATTACATTATTATTTTTATTGAGAACGTTGTACGTTGCCCTTGGGAAGAAAAAAAACTTGGCAAATGTACACTACAATGCACTTATTGCAGGTCGACATACCAATAATATCCCAAAACAGAGTCAAACTTGGTGACTAAATATCCTCGAATATTATTATTTACAAATTAATTATTACTAAATTTGTTATAATATTATTGTATAATACAAAATAAGCACCCGGAAAACAGGAGCTAAGTAAAAGTGAACCAGGAAAAATAGAACCTAGAATGGTTTGCTTCAAGGTTGCAGTATGTCCCCCATCACGTTTTTAAATCTACGTGGATGTCAGACTGGTTGGACTGGAGGAGAGCGAGGCGATGCCACGTGATGGGGGGCTTCGATAAGTGGGGATATATTTTACATACTCTGTTCTTTTTGCTTACGACCAGGTGGTTATTCCGCAGGATACGACCGATGCCATCTTCATGTGTGCAAGGCTCCTATAAGCATACGAAGATCGAATATTAATTTCTAAAAGTGCGAGTACATGTGGCGGATGGGATGAGTGATGCAGCTTAATGAATCCTATAAAGCATCGGTACGACCGTTTAAATAGCGAATATTCTAAATAGCTCATCAAGTAACGAATTGAATATATGTATCATGGTGTAGCAAGGTACTTACATTAACAAAAAAACTATTTTAAATAGTTAAGCTGGTCGACGGCAGCTATGATATCAAAGATAGGGTAGGAAACAGAAAACACTAGACTAAGACCAAAGTAAATCCATTATATTTAGTGGTCTATTTACCAAATTACTTCTTTCAATTATTTATTCTTTTTATGTAAGGTTTTGGTTGAAATGAAAATGTCAGTGCCACGAGCGGGATTCGAACCCACGACCTTCGGCTCAATACGCCGCTGCTCTAACCACTTAAGCTATCGTGACATCGATCGACTCGGACTTTTTCATATCTACTAAAACCTTATATAAAAAGATTAATTAATTGAAAGAAGTAATTTGGTCAATAGACCACGAAATATAATGGACCTAATAAGTAAAACGAAGTAAAACTTCACTAACAGCTCACAAACGGTATCTTCAAATGTCGCCGAGAATCGAATCCCGATTACCCGACATTTGACAAATGACAAAAAGGAGGGAAAATTCGAATTAGGTTGAGATGGGGAGTTAGTGCCCGAGTGGATTGAAATCACGATAGCTCAAGTGGTAGAGCAGCGGCGTATTTAACCGAAGGTCGTGGGTACGAATCCCGCTCGTGGCATTGACTTTTTCATTTCAACCCAAACCTTACATACAAAGGTTAATTATAATTTATATGGAATAGTAGACTGTTTGGATGGAACACCTTATGATAATGGAAAAAATTAAGAACGTATAGTATGGATCCAGTTGGTGAAGGGAAGACAGAGGCATGGCATTGGGCGGAAAATGGAGGAGGCGAATGCCGTGATGTCACATGGGAACATGACTGAGAAAGATGATTTTAAACGACAACTGTGTAGCGGATATAATTCATAATGATTTGATTGATTTAAGGTTATGTTATACTGCGTACTTTATGAGCTATTGCATCTATTATTGAACGGCTCGTCTCAATTTATCAATAAATTTGTTTACTTGAACCGGTTGCAATGGCTGTATTTTTTCAATGATTGTGCTACAGTTTGCTAGTAAATCCGTTGGGGTTTGCTCAATTTTTTTCAGTCTCTATACGCACCATGATGGATGACGCTCTTACATGCCTAGGAAAAGTTCTCATTTTTTAAATTTCTTTCCTTACAAATCTCACTTGTATTGTACTGAATCTTGTGTTCAATGAATGATCGGCCATTACCATTGTTTCTTCACTTAGACTGGTCTTCAAAGTTTTCTCTAATAGAATTGATCTCAATCCCGCACAAGGATTCAACGGGCAGTTTTATTTCTAATCTCTTCAATTTGGTGTTGCAGTACACAGCCGTCACTGGGCTGATGATGTTTGAGTTGTTTGATGGTTGTTTGATTCTCTCTGGCATGATATACCTTTATTTTATATTCTCGCTTCTAATTGAATTGAGTGAAATGAGTGAAGTTTACTTGAAAGAAACAGATATTTATGCTTTAAACATTCGATTTCGGGCAAAATGCCTAAATTTTCTTTCATCTACCCGAGGAGTGTTCCTCCATGTCCACTCCTACGAGTGCGAAGTCTGGTATGAAAATTTGGTTTCAATTCAAATATCTAGTTTGTCATCTCGTGAAATACTGGATATTCTATATGTAACGTATTTGTTGAGATAAAAAGTTAGTGCCACGAGCGGGGTTCGAACCCAGGACCTTCGGCTAAATACCCCGCTGCTCTACCACTTGAGCTATCGTGACAAACATCCCATCTCGTTCCACCTTTCGAATTTTCCCTCCTTTTTGCCGTTTTTCAAATGTCGTGTAATCTATTCGATTCTCGGCGACAAGCGGAATGCCTGCGAAGAGCATTAGTGAAGATATACTTCATTTTACTTATTGGTATATATAAGTCTATATTTGGTCAATCGGACCACGAAATCTAATGGATTGGATATTCTATTAAGAAGATGGTCCTATGCTTTAGTTTTTGTTTGAATCTAGCAAGGGATTCTAATTTGCTTATGTTGATCATAGTTTACTTTCATGTAATTATTATGATTTGGTGGAGAGTGAATAGGCCAAGTATTTCCTCCATGCTAAATGCATGGCATTCATACGCGACCCTTATCTTTTGGAATTATTTTTGTTTGCAGTTCCTGTAGGTTTATTTGCAATTGACCTACAGGTGAGGTTGGGGGTCATACAAACATGGTGCACATCTAGAGCAAAATTTCTTGTTGACAGTTCCAAGGTCTTGACTTTTATGCTTCTCCACAATTAATGCAAGTCCGGGGTTAGATATTCTGCTCTGCAAAATGGTGCACTTCAGATGTGACAAAATGAGTATATTTAAACAAGTATAGATAACAGCTATGTCAGAATATGTTTGATATATATGTTTAGACCAGCAATCATGGCCTGACCCAATGAATATAAGCCCTATTCTGAAAAAGTTGACAATTCCTCACTGAAGAGGCGGATGCGGAAACGCGCTTGTGTAATGCAACGAACTTGCGAGTAAAGAAGGACCCTAGTACCAATAATAAAGTGCCCGTCCAACACGAGTTCACCGACTCGCAGACCCTAATTGCTATATCTCGAATTTAAATTAATTTTATGTGCACAGTAATGATTTTTTATTTCTTGATTACAGATTTGTAAATTGTCAAAACAATCAGATTTTAGATTTTAAAACAAAACCAACAAAATGCCACAATTTGTTTTAGTTTAAAGTTTCTAGTAATGTGCCAGATGAAAAAATAAAACAATAGCGTACTACTCCAAGAAGTACACAAGAACAGTGTGTACTGTAAGAAATACCAATTTCTTGGCTTATAAGATGTAGTAACTTTAGTAACATTGTCATTTACTGTGTGCATAAAATAAATAAATACTGTACTACAATAATGCAAATTTCTTGATTTATAAGGTGTAGTAAATTTTTTATTTAGCAATTAATTAAGGTTTTTAGTTGAGATGAAAAAAGTTAATGGCACGAGCGGGATTCGAACCCACGATCTTCGGCTAGATACGCCGCTGCTCTACCACTCTCATTAATTCACTACTTTTGTGGTCCGCTTGAGCAATTAATACATGACAGTTAATTGAAAAATGGCAAAAAGGAGGGAAAAATCAAAAGGTGGGGTTGAGATAGGAGGTTGGTGTCCGAGTGGATGGAGGTCACGATAGCTCAAGTGGTAGTGCAGCGGCGTATTTAGCCGAAGATCGTGGGTTCGAGTCCCGCTCGTGCCGTTAATTTTTTTTCATGTCAACTAAAAACCTTAATTAATTGTCATGTATTAATTGATCAAGCGGACCACGAAAGTAGTGAATTAATTTTTTATTTAGTTTCGTATTTGAATTTTTATTGGTAGATTTACTTTTACAAATATAAAAAAGTATTATTTTTCATGTTGTGCCCATAATATGAAATTGAGTTAAGATTTCACATTAATTACAAAACCACATCTATACAAAATACATTCCCATTATTCCCCCTTAGCTTAACTAACATTATGATTTCTTTCAATTAATTAATCTTTTTATGTAAGATGTTGGTTGAAATAAAAAATTAGTGTCAAGAGCGGGATTCGAACGCACGACCTTCCACTTCAGCTATCGTGGCATTGGTTTTGAGCAACGGCGTATTGAGCCGAAGGTCGTGGGTTCGAATCCCGCTCTTGACACTTTTTTATTTCAACCAATACCTGACATAAAAAGATTAATTAATTGAAAGAAGTTTTTTGGTCAATCGGACCACGAAATATCATGGATTTATCTTTATAATGCCGTTTGACTAAATGAATATTACATTATCAGTGGGAATCTTAACGTTAATTCAAACACTGTGTTTGAGATAAATATTTTAAAAAATTATCTAAACTTCTATTCTTATTTGTTTACACAAAATAAATCACATTATACAAAATAAACTACTGAAACAAATTAAACGAAAAAATATAATTAAATGTTAAAATTCCCTGACCCCGCACAAATGTTATTATGGAGGATAAAACAGCACCTACATAACAGGGATGAATGTCTATGCTGACTTGTCTTCGGGGGGTCAACGCTTATCAGTAATGTTAGTTAAGATTGATTCTGTTTAACGGATATTTATATTAAAAAAATCAACAAGGCAAAAGAGGAAAAACATACAAAAAAATCTAATCAATTGAAGTATTACTGTTTTTAATGGAAATGAGACAAAATTATAATCACAGTAACTTTTCAGAAATCACGGCCACATATTTCTCATTTTCTATTGTTGACATGTCGTATCTAACTAACTGATTATGAACATAAAAAAGGGGAAAATAACTGGAAATATTATTTTTTAATGAGTAGAAAAAGTTGATTATGTCATTTACTCTACACCTTTTTTATTTTTGTTGTTTTCTTTGTATAAAATTGTAAGAATGTCGTTTCTATTGTTTAGTTGTTTTTCATAGGTTTTATTTTACTAAAAATTAATTTATTGTTTCTATTTTTTTCTATGATATTACTAAATATTTATTTAGAAAAAAATTTGTATATTTGATAAAATTGTTGATCAGTAAGTTGTGAATATTTACAATTGTTTATTACTAAATTATATAACAATTTAATTGTTAAACGACCGGTGATTTATTTATATTAATAACACATGCGACAAAAATTGCTTCTTAGTCATGTAATAATGGTTTTAAATTATATAACTTGAAAAAGTGCAAAATGAATGTAGATTTTGATACTGATTTTCGTATGGACGTTGTACTTTAGAACAAATGTATATCTGATAACGGCGTGATTTGGAAGGAATTCGACAATTCCAGGGTCCTCGGTGTCAATTTCGTCCACGTTCCAAACAACCCGTGACGAACATGTTTTAT